CTATAAATATATTTCTGCACATAGTCTCTATATTTAGGGAAAAAAACAAAGAATCCGATGAATTATTTCTTTGGTGCTGCCCAATATTTACCTGAGGCAAAAGAATTACAAAAAAGAAATAATAGAAAATTAATGTCAAAACAAGATATACAATTATTAGGGGAAGAGTATTATGGAATGGATGACTATGAAACTACTGAATTATTAGAAGAAGAGGTTTCAATGCAAAATGAATTAAAACAAACTTTACAAAGTAATCAATAACGAAAATCAATTAGACTCAAATATTTCTTTATATTCTTCAAGTTTTTTAATAGCAGTTAGTGCCTCATAGATTTTATCATCTAATTAGTTAGTTCTTCTTATTCTTTTTTATCAATAATAATTAACAAACTAAAGTCACACTGTTCACAGGATAATAAGTCAAGACTGTTCTCTCCTTTTACTAACCCAGTAATATCAAATAGTGTCTCACTGTCACAACTTGGAATACATATATTTTCTTGTGTAATTGTAATTTCAACCCCATTAACATTCATTCCAATTTCACCTGGCTCTCCTTGAGATGCTTGTACCTTACCAAATACACGTACCACTTTATCAAAATAATTTCCAAAGTCTTGTACATCAACAATAGGAATTGGTTCTGTTTCCATCGTGTTTTCTTTGTTTATAAGAATCCAAGTTCTTCTTTAATTTTCATCTTTTTCTTTAAATTGAGGAAATTATCAATTTTTGTTATTTCATTTTTTTCACTTTATTATTATTTGTTCTAAAGAAGACTAGTCATTATAAGATCTCTAACGTTTAATAAATGATATTATATACAAGAAATAACTCTTTAGGATAGTAAATATTTTAATTATCGTGTTTAGTATTAATGAAATAATAATCATTTCAATAGAGTATTGTCTTCCATAGCTACTATAATTCAAACAGAATATTTAACTGACACAGTAAGAAGGTAGTTAATGTGACCCACAAAGAAACAGAAATAAAAGATGTTATAAAAAGATCAGGAATGAAAAAATAAATGATAGGATTAAAACACCAGAAGAAGATATAAAAAGAATAAAGAATGAAGACAAAAAATTAAAGAGCAAAACAAAGAGATGGAGAGGAGGGAGATACACCACACTCCACCAACGAAGAATCAAAAAATAGATAATAGAATTGTAAATTCATTCTGGAAATTAGGGATATTAAGAATAAGGTTGGAACAAATAGAGATTATAATAAGAGAAGACATTGACTAATAGAATAATCAAGAAAGAAAAAAAATTTTAAATGGATATATTCAAATTTACTCACAAAAATTAAAAGAAATAATGATAAACCACATGAAAGATGAAATAGATAATAATAAAATGAAATAATACAATAAAATAAAGAAAAAAGAAATAAATAAAACAACACCTATTAATTATTATTTCAATAAAAACATGTAATGAAATAATTAAATGTATGAATGAAGAATGGAAGTGTGAAAATGAAAATATAGAACCCCAAAAAGAAATATATAAAATATCATATTGTATTTCTAAATATCAATAAAATAATTTTATAAGATATTTAAATAATGAAATTAATTATCTAAGAAAAGAACCAATAAATTAAAATAATTATTAATTAACAAGAATTACACTAGAAATAAAATAATAAAGAGAAATAAATAATACAACCATGAATATATTAATAATAAAACATGAAATTAAACAAATAGAATATTTAATTAATATGAAGAAGAAAAGAATAAAAATTAATAAATAAGAAAGGATAAGAATAAATAAAAATAATGATAAGAATAAGAATAAATAAAATATGTAATTTACCGATGAAATAATATGAAAATAAGAACAATTATTTATTATGAAAAGAAGATAATGAAATAGCAGAGAAGATGAAAATAAACAAGAATGGAAAATGCAAGTGTCAAGAGAATTAATAAAAACGAATTTAATAAAATGTATCAAATACACAAAATAAGATTGACCCATATGTAAAATAAAATATATAATGAATAAATTTAATGAAAAATATATTAATAAATTGAAATGAAATAATGTAATTAGTCATTTAATAAAATAAATTGAAAATAAAATGATATGAAATTAACAAATAGAATAATGAAGAATATTAATATAAAAAGAAATTAATATAAATAATTAAAATTAATTCAAGAAAATAGTATATTTGTATTAATTATGA